TGCATCTCTCAAGCTCCAAATTCCTTGAATTTTAAGTATTTTGTTGCTTCAAGCTTTTAACCATCGAATTCAGAATATATATTTTAAGTTTCTTTGCTCTGATTCAGAAAGAGACTTATTAATGCCAGTAGATAGAATGTTTAGATTTATTGGTATTTAGTCCTTTTGTTTTGCTGCTGCAAGTGCTATCCTAACGGTTAGTTACTTCTTTTTTTAAATTATTTTGCATAAATTGTATAAACAAAAACCTTATTTAAATGGACAATACGGGGGACAGGGGTATACTTGGTGCAGTAAAAGTAACAGCTTATAAAATCAATTACTTGCAACTTGGATACTTAGAAAAAAAAGTTTAAAACAAAAATCAATTTAAATTTTTTGATCTTCTCGGGTGAGTATAATGGACAAATATACCCACGATGGGTATTCTCATTTTGGCCCGATCCGAGCAGTACAAGAAAATGTCTCAGTAGAGCTTTTTTCTCAAGCTATTTTCGTATATGTTTATTACAAAACTTATACATTCATTCTCTTTTACATCTATTTAATTTTGTACTTAACATAAATTTCTATTGTATATTAATTTTTGTTCGTTTTTCTGTGTTAACGATTATTTATTTTAATTTTTTGATAACAATGTCGTTCTTATTTAATCTCATACTTTTGGTTAGTTAATTTGCTTCCCTAATCAATTAAGAAAGTAATTTATCTTTCTTGGATTATAAATTCATTCATCATAACTTTTTTTGTACATAAAAAATTTTCTTAAATTATCCTAATTTGAATTTAATTTTTGTTTTTAATTCAATGCTGATATTCTCTACATATTTTAAGCGTATGATGTCTGTTAAGGTACAAAAATCTACTCCAAACCCACATAAATGATAATATAACTGCATCCTCATTAATTTCTTTGTTTCCTCATAACTTAATTAATCAAACCAGCTCAAGCCCATAATTTGGCACACACATCAAGCTTACCATTTAGTATGCATAAACCAGAATTATAAAAATGCAAAACTATTGCGCGCACTTCGCTTTTTTTTATGAAAATTAAAGAAGTAAAAATAATTTAAAACACAGTGCTTTTCGTATTTAAATGGCACTGTTATTTAGATTTTCTGGAAACTTCAATTGGCTTATCGTTGGTGATTAGAAGCCTCTATTCCCTGGAGTTGTGTCATAAGTTTTCAAATTTTCCCATTGTATATGGGTTGAATAGGTATCAGTGTTTGTTTGTATAATAGAAATGAAAATAAATTCCTGTAAAATAAACTTGTGTAAAGGTTGTGTGCAACTAAAAAATTTAGCCTGGTACTTGAAAAAAAATATATATCATATCAAAAGCCCATGGTTATGAAGAATATTAAAAAACGTTCAACAAAAATAAATTATAATTTTAGTTCCAAATGATAATTTAAATTTACCAAAGATTTTTGTAATGTTATCTTGTAATAGTCTATATAGATATATGTGCAATGATCGAATCGATAGGCTTAGCCTTACCTCGATAGTGCATAAACATTTACTCGACGCAACACGCACTTGATAAGTATAAGCGGCAAAGGCTGCCAGGGGGGTATGGTGGCACCAATGTTGCTGCACGAGACTTTAAAATTCGCTAACTCTTTGGCGTGCAGCATGAAGTCATACAAAAATGTAGCAAAAGCAGCTGCTAAGGCATCGATAGTTCTAAGCAATAAATTCAGACGGATGGTGGAGACGAAGACCTCAAATTCGAGTGCAGTGCATATGCATGTGGTAAAGGCCCACGTGTGCAATGATGTACGCGTAGCGTGACCGATTTATAGGCTCGAAACCGGTACATGCGAACCAACAGCAACATACAGGATGGTCAGCAATACAGTTTACGTCAGAAACAGGCAGAGAAAGTATATCCAGCTTGGACGCAAGGTGGGCCAGGCGACGATGATAAGGCGTCGCGTTGGGCGACGAAAATGCCGTATCAAGCGTCAAAATTTCAAGCTATGTAGTAATGCTAAGCTTCGGTTGAGCTGCTTAACGTTGATAAGGCGGTAATGGCAGGCGAAATGGCTCACCGTGATTGAAATACTGCAAGAAATGCCCAGTGAGATAAATCTCCAAATCGACAGAGAAGATCACGTAGGTTAAAAAATTTGTAGTACTTATGTCTCTTATTTATAAAAACAAGTTGGTTGAAGTTTTGCCAACATGAATTAAAACTTATTACATGAAGTTTTTGTTTATACAAACAAGGGTATGCATAATTTACCATTTCGGAATCAATATACTATAGACCAAAGAAATTTTGGAAGTAGCATATACTAATTTAGATGAACCTAACAACAGTATGAATATATTACATTGAACGAAAAAAATGTATTCCAACTTTTATTTATTATTAAAGTAAAATTACTATAGTAAATCTAATTAAATCAGAAGAAAATGTTGATGATTGTAAAATATTTTCTTATTAATGAAGTTAAAAATATTATGCAGAAAATAATAGGACGTTAACGTGCCACAATGTTAATGTATAGATAAATCAGAAAGTTTTTAATTTAGTAATAGAGAATAAAAATTTTGGATACACTTCCACTTTATAAACACATACTGAACAGTACGGCTGAGAGATGTAACAGAATTGTAATGAACATTGAACTGGGCTCTGTACGTTCAAAAGTTTTTTCCGTGTGTAAGCATTTGAAGCGTGCAAATATTTACTTTTTTTCCCTTTTGCTAGCGTCTTTTCAAGCTAAAAATTAAAATCAGGCCGCCTCTTTTTTCACTCTAAAACCAAAGATGTTTGAAAGTTTACATATTTTTGTTATTACTGTATACGATTTAGTGGCACATAATTTGCTTAAAATATTAAATATCTTTGATCTATCACATCGTATGATTTTTGCTGACGGCATGAAGTACTCTAATTACGTCCTTATTTAAGCTTTGGATAAAAACATCCTTTTCAGATGAAGTCGTCATTTGAAGTTACACGTAGCTTGTGAATATCGTGGTAGAGCTGGTACGCGCATTTCTAGAGTAAAATTTATCGTGATAATCACAACTATAAATTTTATAGGTCACTTGCATTACAGTTCAAAATAACAAGCCTGAGCTCCACATTATGCAAGAGCTCGAGTTTATATTTTTCTTTTAGGTTAACAATTCACGAAGATCGCCACAACACGTGCATTGTTTTACGCACCATCTCATCCTGAATCAACTAACTCGTGGCGCATTTTTTCCAAACTAACGATTTGCGTTAACATTGAAACAAGTTAAACTAAATTTTTTATTCGTAATTTTCACTCTTAAATGGAATATTTAAGTTACGATAATATTAGAGACTAGGCTCATTAATTAAAAAATTACGAGACAACGCAGTAGAAACAAAATTACAGCACTTTTATTATATTTACTTACAAATTGAGTCTTGTTAATAAATTTATACACTTTACTTCACAATAAAAGTATCACTACTTTAAAACATTCGTAGTTCTATTTATAATACGCTATTTACCAATCACGAGCCGGAAATACGAGAAGAAATAATGAACAGAACTATGAATAGAAAAATGTTATAAAATATAACTGTAAATATGTATGCAAGACTTTTCAATTAAACAAAAGCCAAACATACATGTACGTACTTAGAAATACAAACTCCACACCTAATATTGCTGCTGATTCACCCCTCTCAGTTAGTCTTTAAGTTGCTGTACATTTTTGCTCTCTTAAACCGGTAAATAAACGTAGCTTGCAAAAAATTTTTGTACTTGAGCACGCAACGCTAGGTAACTTCTTCCTCTAACAGTTGACCTCATAAAAATGTGCACTAAATCGATCGTTTTATAACAAATGAGCCCAAAACTCTTTATTGAGAGCTATTAGGCTAATTCCAGCACAGTCACTGGATCAAATTAAACTATGACTTGAAGCCGTGCTAGACACTTTGGACTAGAAAAATAACACGAACTATGAAACCCCCTGTTTTCTGATTAAAATAAAAATGTACTTAAACCATAAAAAATTTAATAAATTTTTTAAAATTTTTTTATAAAATCAATAGAAGGATTAGTAAAGAGGATGTATTTAAGGCAGAAGAAAGAAATTACAAGTAGAATAAACAGGCAGAATTTCAAATTTGCTGGTTTCAAAAAGTTTACTGAGCGTGGTTTGGTTTACGTTTCCTTCCTATCACATAGCATTATTGCTATGAGTCCGTATACACTTCTAAGATGGTGAAGAGCTGTTTATCACTTCAATTGAACACGTTTCTGTAATAGTCGACTTATTGCACTAAGCTACTAGCCTTTGCTGGCGATAATTAACTATGTATATATTACTACGGATGCTACTTGAAAGAGACTTTATCTATATTTTTAATTATTGTCAAAACTACTTTCAGTACAAAAAATATCTATTATGGATATCTTAGCCACAAGAAAGTACTTTATAAACTACTATAAGAATTTAGATACGTAACAAAAGCTAGTAATTAACTTAAGCTAACCTTGAGCTTCAAGAGCTGAAAAAATCCGGTTGAAAATACTAAATGCGGTAGATTTTATCATTCAGCTGTAAAATAAATCGGAAAAAAAGAATAATCAAAGAAAAATTTACCCTTTAGAACCCATATTTTGCGTTACATAGCCATTTGACTTATTCATAATTTATTAATTACTAATTAAACTAATAATTTGGAAGGGGGTTAAAAAAGCTTCGTAGTAATAATTTTAAATTTTGGCTCATACATGTTTTGTGTAGACACATATTTTCAAATTTTCTGAATATTAATTTCAACCATGTAATTTAAATTTGAAAAAGCTGAATGTAGCAAGCATTTCCTGTGCATACTTATCTGAGCAAATGTTTGTGTTGCATAAAAAAAAATAATTTCCATGTTTTACTTTCTACTTCGTTTTCTAAAAGTTTGTTCATTTAACATTATAAAAATATTCTATGTAAAATAAATAGAAGTTTTAAAATCATTTTAGCAACATATTTCTCATTACCGTTAAAAATCCATATCCTTTACTTCGGCCAGTTTCAGGATCCATAATAAGCTGTATGCTTTCGATCTTACCAAATGGTTCAAATATACCTCGCAGCATATCTTCAGTGATATTAAAATGTAGTGATCCAACATATAATCTCATTGGCCCAGTTTGACCTTTAGGCATCAGATTTGGCATAGAGTTACCCATTCGATTTTTTTCTGCTTGAGTGTGTTGTACAACAATAGGGATTCCCAGTAACTTTTGTCCAGACAAGCCAAGAGCCTGAAAGTTATCATTTTTTATAAGTGTTCTATCTTTCAATTTCTGCTGATCGTAATCATGTACCAAGAAATGCATGTACTTGTATAATGTATTACTATTCTTTCCTTATACTTGTACTAAAGCTGTATGTATATAAAATTTTGACCTACAGATTTCTACGCCTTCTATAAAATAAAACTACATCAACCAATTTTTTACATTTTGGTTTTTTCAAAGATTAAGCATATGTACGATAATAAAATTTTAAGAACGTTAAAAAAACTTTTTATACAAAACTTGCAAAGGTAATTATAAAAATTAATGCTTTAAAGTGCGTTGTTTACTGTATGACATTATGAGAATGCGTGTAATTTGTAAAATTGATTTGAATTTAATACCAATGTTAATAAAGAGATAAGTTATCTATAGGCTAGCAGAGCTAGAATACAGCTTGAAAGACTCTCCACCCCAGTTACCCTACTTCTACTTTCTCCCTCCATGTGATACATGTATGGTTACTTATGTGTGCCCAAAGCCATTCCTTTGCTGACATAGTACTTCGTAGCAAAGTGGGTTAGATAATTTTTATTTTTGCTGGTCATACCATCAGATCAAATTTGCAGTTATTCCAACGGTTGCGAGAGAAAAATCTAAATAGTAGAATTTGTAAAAATAGTAACAAAAACAAAAACTACAATGGAAACAAATATAGATTTACAAGTAGTTTGGTAACTATTTATTGCAATATTTGTCGTTTTCGTCAAGTCATTTATAACGAAATAATCAATGGAGACTTGAAAAATCATTAAGTTAGGAGTAATGTACATTATAATATTTGAATAAATGTACATTATAAATGACTTGTCAAATGAAAACAGTATTGCAATTAATAGTTACTTGTGATCTAATACCTCTTGCACAATCGACCACCAAGGCATTTAGTTAATCATAAAAGATAGCAAGATACTGTAGCAAAAAAACATAATCAATTTAAGGGTGATCCAAGATAGTTGAAGTTTCTTACTTTATTATTCAGGTTACTTTAATTGTATAGCTTGATAACATTTATTATTCACTAGACAGCTATTTTATCGAATTAATAAGAGCAGACGAACATTCTTGATACTTCAAAAAATAAGTCAAGCCCACACTTGGTAAAATTGCTTGAGAACTCGAGGCAGAAACTGAAAAATAAGATGTTTGAATGATGAAGTGTAATCAGATTTTTCATTTTTCTTCTTCGTTATTTTATAAATCCCACCGGAATTAAGAAACATTTGTTCCTTGTGGATTCATAAATTTGTGGCTACTATTTTTTTCTGGCATGTAAATATTCCAAATAAATTGATTGTTGTAAGCTCAGTAAAACATCTATTGATCGGTAGAGTAGGAAACTCATTTATGCAAAGTAATTTCTTATGTCTAATTCGGTTAGGTGATGTTATTTGCGTCAGTAATTTACTCTACATAATTTAAGGGAAAAAAAGAAAAATAGACTTACATTTTTTAATCTACAAGAAATAAATACAGCTTGGTTTTGGCGAGATATGTTAAAATATATAAAACGAAAAGGGAAAAAAAATCACACCTTATTCGTTCAAAATCTGATTTTTCACTTTTCACCTTAAATCTTCAACCATTTTCGATTAAATAGCTGACTGCTGAATAAATGATGTTATAAAGCTGAACAATTAAAGTAACCTTATCTATAAGGCAGGCAACTTTAAGTATCTCCAGATTGCCCTTAACAAAAAGTAATTTTAAACTTTGCTGATTAGAAGAAGGTATTAGTGAATCTCTTCTAAAGCTTAAATGTATCCTTACTACTTCTGGAACGCCTTTATTACTAAAGCTAGTACTAAACTAGCTTTGCCACCATTAAACACTCTAGTCATATTCTCTGCAATGTCAAATAGTGACTGGAACTGCTTACATGGCTGATTCTGACAGACAATTCCAAGAATTAAAATGTTCAAAAGAAATCATAACAAACCATAAATAAAATGATACATCAAATTACAGATTAGTGAATGACTAATTACCACAGTACTGTCCGTTTTACTTGACAAGTCACGTATTCTATTCGTGCAGTAATTTAAAACAGTGCCATCTGCATGAGGAAAAAGTCGTTGCTAGCATTGGCTACGACGGTGAAAAGTTTCCAACCTGTCAGAAACTTCAGTGCGCATTTCGGTATGTATACATCTTCTTTTATAATTAAGATATTCAAGTGCGTCTATCCACACTGTTAAATAAATATGCTAGGAGGTAGTGGATCAATAATATTACACTTGTTAATACTTAAATTAATATATTTAACCACAAACATAAAGATTAATCAAGATTACAAGATCTCCTCTCTCATTGTATAGAGAGATTTAACAATAGCGTGCGTACGCACCAACGGCCATGTTCTGTCTGCCTTTCCTGAATCACTGTACAAAGGACATATACATATCATCTTGTATTCATAGTGTTTATGCCACATAATAGATGTCACTAGCCACATATTTAATGTAAATCTTACTAATAATAATGTAAATCTAACTAATATATACAGGAAAGTCGCTAAAGCCGTTGTAATCGCCAGCCACGGTGACTGCTCAACCAATCTTGATGAAATTTTGCATACTGATTCTTGATACTTTCGAGATAGTTTTAGTACAGTTTTTATCTTGAAAAAATTGATAACAGTTGCAAAAAATAAGCTTAAACTTTTGCAAAAACACACTAGCTTTTCACTTCAGTTCAAGAGGATCCATTAGGTGGCGTAGAAGTAACATCGAAGCTATCTGCAATAGAATTAAGTAAATCTGGTTATTATTTCCCCGAAAAAAGTACTGAATACTACAGTCAATCATTGGCAGTGCATGAAGTATAGAGCTGGAAGTCGTGCAGCTGGATATCCTGGCTACCGCTGACAACACTGTTCTTTAATAGACAAGCGATTTATGTCAAACTCCATCCCAAACGAAAGATTTACGAGTGCGACCAACAAAAAAGTGTTCAGAATATTAACGTCTCCGGCGAAATTCCAGGAGACGTGTCGAGCTAGAGCACAATCAGCTTTAGAATTTTGGGGTTTCATTGGTCTTTCTTCCAACCATCCTGGGGCTATCAAAGCAGATTTTGCGACAACAGCAAGCCAGGAAAAACAACCCTGAGAATTTCAGGTAGCCACAACGGCCTTCTTCTGAGTGGTCGTCCCAACAGTATACCTACAGAGATGGCATTTTTTACTACCATTTCCGCCAACGATTCGTCGAGTAAAAGACTATATAAAGCTGGCCACTATTAAAACGAGTCAGTTATTCTCTCGCAGACATCACCAGCAGAGCTGTCTGTTGCGAGACTGGAAACCTCGGCCACCAACGACCCTACAATATCCTCTCTACTCTAAACATTCAACCAGTAAGCACCGATCCTTTCCGAGGTGTGAGTTGGTTAAACCTAACAGTGAAGCTATAAAGAAAAAACCAGGTGTGGGTTTCGGAACCCCAGGCAGAAGTAAGACTTCAAACTTAAATGTTATTAAACTTAGTAAAATAGAAACCTATTACACCTAATATTATTAGATCTTTAAGAATCCGATATTAAAATAGTAAAATTTTTATTATTATAAAGTATACGAGCACGCGCGTACGTAATTCAAGTATTCACGCATTCTAAGTACTTCCATGTTTGCTATGATATAAATATGTATTTATATGCGTATAATTATTGTTCGTCATGTAATGCAGGACGAAACAAAAATTTTTTACCATACTACGCCAAAAAAGGTAGTTTTGTCCAGTTACGCGGGACAAAAATTCCTTCCATTTAAAATTTTTTTTTCATGCATTTGATATGATATGATACATACATGTCTTGTTGGAATCATTGTATCCTAAAAATTTTTTTTAATTTTGGCTACCATAAAAGTAAAATAGTTCACTGTTTCTGGTTGAGATTAAGGAAAACAATAGACATATAGCTATTTTCTTGTTTTTAAAGGTAAGATTGTCGTATATCATACGTATTTAATACCTCATGCACGTTTTTCTTACATACATGTATAGGGACTAACATGTATGTAATGACCAGGACGTACAACACGGATATATAAATACAAAATACATACGTATACTTTGCCTCTCGCATAAATTAAGTTGTTGTTTTTCTCTTCTTTTCTCTTTTCTCCATACCTATACCTCAGCTAGATCAGTTGATTATTTAGTCATAGCGCACAAAAATACATACTTACATACCTATAATGTAGGTACAGTACCAGCCTGAGGGGAAGCGAGCAAACGGCGTACATCAGTACATGCGAAAGAAAGAGAGACGAAACGGTAGACAGTAGAGTGGCGCACGCTGCGAAAGAGAAAGACGGAGCGGGAGAAAGTGTACCTACAAGAGAGGAGATTTAAGAGAGGGCTTGGGCCGCAGGGTTGGTGGCTACGTTTTTTCAAAACGCATTTCCCCTCACGCGGCTGTTCACGGCCCAACATAAGAAATTTCAGTTCAAAAAAAAGGTTGAGCGAACGGGACAGTCATTGACAAGCAAACATTTCGTACCAATCTCCCTCCCTTAGGTCAATAAACTGACTGAGCTCAGCAAAAAAAAGGTGCTTTGGACACTAACGTCTCCAGAGTAACACCAGGAGAAATTAGCTCTACAACTAGCTTCAACGCTTCAGACTTTGTTTTCTCCCATTAAGTCTAGTACTACAACAGCAGGCCAAAGAGTATCACCCTCAGGTATCTAGGCAGTCACGTTTGCTGGAAAGTTTAGTCTATAAAGAGTTTAGCTCACTTGTCTTTTATAGAGTCATCAAACGTCGAAATATCCTGCCAACAAATACACTCCAACCTAACAAAGTTGACATAAAACAGCCTTTAGGGCTTAAAAAAGGTTTAACGATGCCTATCGTCGTAAAAGAGCAAATAGAAGGAAAACTTCAAATGTTTCAAATGTTTCCAATTTTAGGTGTTAGGGAACTGACGCAGAACATTTATCGAGATTAAAACAGCAGCATTAAAATCGACAAATGTAGAATCTATTACATGAGAGATCAGCTTTTTATTATAGCCCTGGTAACAGTTTTCACTTTAATCTTCTAAATTTTTAAGTAGGTAGGAAAATATGTATTCGTTTTTATTGTGGCGATAAAAACCAGAGATAATAAGTTCCAGGACGTTTTTGCTCTGGTAATTAGCAATGTTAATCGCAAATAAACTGCATGGATTCCAAACAAAACTGTTTTTAACAAGATATTTTTTTATTCTGAGAAGTATCAAGAATAGTTGTAAAATTTTCAACTAAAAACGTTTTACATTACGTGTCAACACTCTACGGTGATCTATTGAGTGAGTCTCGGGAGAAGCCGAGACGGGGGGCTTTCAGTGCTTTTGTATACTAACTATGATTTTTATGAGCTCATGTAACAATGTATTTTTTTTAAATCGAAAAATTGAAAAAGTACTCAGTGTGCTGCGTGAAATTTAGAAAGTACTTAGTACATTTACCTCGTCCCCTCTTACTCGATTCTCTTCTGCAGAGGGTCCATCTCAGGTATCCAGTTTAAAAACCCCAGGAACTCCTGTGAAGGAATTAATAAAAAGATCAGCACGGGGCTTTGAATGCCGACACACTTTATTTATACATCCCATCACAATTCTGCGTTAATACACTTATTTACTGACTTATGAATAGGCATGTTTGTATATTTACTGCACGTTAGCCCGGCCCCTTCTTATCGAAACACTTCTTTCCGTCACAGTATTTTTGTTAGCTTCGGCGTCAATAACGTGTACTTAATTACATACGTCCGAATCTCACACACGCACCTGATACTATATTTCTCGTATGAACGTCATAAATGGCCAAAAATGGCAGTCGTTGTCACGACTCTAATTCTCGCTTCAATCATACGTACATTTACACTAGCCGACCCTTTCCTCTATTTTCCCTAACACCCATCTGCACACATACACACCCACTCACTTAGATTGCACTTAACACTCTTTTCTTTTCTGTACTGTTTTATAGCACCTATCTCCTCTGTACTCTTACTATCAAACTCCTGTTTCTTGAAGCTATCCTAGTCTCGGCGATAGCTTGTCTACATAACCAATTTTCAGCAATTTCACCTACTGTTCGAACTGACTCTTTTCTGTCCTGTACTCTACGTATACTCTCACTATCTGCACCTCGATCTAATTAGTTCACTACTCTATTTTCTTCTTATTTATCCTCTCTCAGCTCAAGTCCTACCTCTCTCTGATCACGTTCTTGTTCAATTTTACTCTCTATCCTAACTGAACACTCCACTTTTTTCTATACGGTCTAGCTAAACTCTTTACTATCCTATACTTAACCTGTCACTGTTGATTCTCTCATATTGTTTCTCTTTTTCGACACGCTCTCTCTCTCTCTCTCTCTCTCTCTCTCTCTCTCTCTCTCTCTCTCTCTCTCTCTCTCTGATGCATACCAAATACGATACAAACAAAATTTTCTGCCAATAGGCAGCAAATGATTTAACGGTCACAAAACAATGTAAACAAAAAATACACGACGTGAACACAAACTAGTGGCATAATGTACTACATTTAGACTGATAGAATTAGATTTCACACCATTGAAAAAAAAATTAATTCCTATAAGCAAATAAAAAAGGTAAATGGAAAAAGTGCCAAAATCACCTAAATCGTGAATAAATCGAAAACAGTAATAGATGAAAAAAAAAAGTTGAACACAAAAAAGATGCACCTTTCCAAGCCGCATAAAAGTAGCCTTGTTGAAATTAATTTCATTTAATATTTTTTTTGCAAAATGCAAAACACCGCAAATTTAGCTATTTTTTGAAAAATTCATAACTCAGTCCCATTTTGATATGAAGAGCTGAAAATTTTATACAATGTTCCTTTCGTAGTCCTTAACATATGCTCCAAATTTCAAGATGATACAATGAATAGTTTTTGCAAACCGTCGTATTAAAGAAAAAATGGTCCCTTCGAAAAATGGCTCTAAAAAAGTTTTGAGACCACTTACGGCCATTTTTCAAACGCGCTGCTCTTCGTCAAGAGTTAGTATTCAACATGCTAAAATTTCATAATCCCATCTTGTATATATATAATTTTCAGCTCTTCATATCCAAATGGGGCTGAGTTATGAATTTTTAAAAAAACGGCNAACTATTAATTGTATCATCTTGAAATTTGAAGCATATGTTAAGGACTACGAAAGGAACATTGTTTCAAATTTTCAGCTCTTCATATTTAAATCGGACTGAGTTATGAATTTTTAAAAAAACGGCCAAATTTGCGGTTTTTTGCAATTTGCAAAAAAACTATTTAATGAAATTAATTTCAACAAGGCTACTTTTTTGCAGTTTAAAAAAACGGCCAAATTTGCGGTTTTTTGCAATTTGCAAAAAAAATATTTGATGAAATTAATTTCAACAAGACTACTTTTGTGAAGCTTAGAAAGGCGCATCTTTTTTGTGTTCCACTTTTTTTTCTATCTATTACTGTTTTCGATTTATTCGCGATTTAGGTGATTTTGGCACTTTTACCATATTTTGGGCACTTTGCTGACAAATTCAGAGGTTCGTTTTTGATTGCAGCAATTTCTACCACTTTTATCTCGCTTATCAAATTTTTTATTCGCTTGTAGGAATTAATTTTTTGAAAAGTCTAATTCTATCAGTCTAATTAGGCAGATTTCCATACTCCCCTTGAAGTACTGCTTACAGCGCGTTAGGTTGTTTAAATGTTAAGTACTTAAAAAACTTTGACTTGACTTGATAAGTTTGGCATAAAAAACTAATGTAATTATCATAATCAAGTAATTATTTTCTTTAAAGGATATTTAAATTGTACATTTCAAACATGACACAACAACAATATTATTAGTTTTCCATATTTACTCAACATTTTCAAAAAAACAAAACAATACTTTAAAAAATTCCTAGTAAGTACTACTCTCAAAATAACGTAAAAATTAAATCAGATTTTACAATTAGGAAAAGATAAAACAATAAAAGTTAGATAACACCAGCGTGGTATATGAAATTTCGTGCAATAACTGTCCTGCAAAATATAATGGTAAAACAAAAAAGCACTCAAAGAGAACAGAATACAACAAGAAAAAATTACAAAACCAAATCTGTGGGGTCTGTAGATCAAATTTCAAACAATCATACTTTAAATAGGATGACATTAGAATATAAGACAATGAGCCAAATTATATGAAAGGTGAAATGCTCTATGTAGTGTCAAACGATAATAATATAAATAAGAAAGATGACCTATCACATTGAGTCACACTGGTAAAAGTTTTTTCAAGTATATACGTTACTGACCACATCTATTAATTTCGATACATTGACCTTGTGATTTAATTGTGTAAAAATGGGCTTGCATTTATGTCTATAATTTGTTGGAATGTCTATAACATGCATTTTTAACTTTCAAATATAAAACAATATTTTTAAATTGTTTACCTTTCTGTTGAAAAAATATGGAAAGAGTTTTGAGATACAAATAAGAAAATAAAGCGTAAAAAAATTTTATTTATTTTATTACTAAAAACTGAAACAATCAAGCTTGAGCTTTTTTTTTTTTTTTTTTTTCTTACAGTCTTCGTGATACTTTCTTGAGAACAAAAAATAGATATTTTTACTTAATAAATACCTAAAAAAAAAATATTTTGTCTCCTCTTTCTTACGGTTAGCTTCGATTAAAAAGTATTATTTAATTTTTGTATTACAACTTCTAAGTTTTATATGTCATTTGAGAGTAATTTAATCGCTTACATTTTCAGTCACATATCATATATTTAACTATTCTAAGACAATATAATGATAAAAGCTGTGTTAATACATCTCTTATTTTTATACAAAATCTGTGAGACTTCATGGAGTATAATTATTATAATCAAAAAATTATATACAGACCATTAAAGATGAGCAGTTTATATAATTTCTAATATACGTATCAGCATACATGCTATGAACTGACGTTTTACACAATATAACCTACAGTTGTTTACGTTTGGCAGTCTACTATACTGCCATGTATTTTTTTCAGATTTTTTATGCATCTGTCGTAAATTACTACGCATGCAATAAATGGATGTTACGCACAATACAACTATATTTTTGTAGATATGACGGTTTGTTGCCCTACCGCGTATTGTCTAGATTTTTCACGCCAATGGAGCCTGATACCGCTAATCACCATGCGTGCAATGTACTTACTTAAATGATAATGTAACTATACGAAGTACTCTTTTTTCGGTCTGCTGTACGAGCTGTGTCGTCTTTTTATTTTTTTCATACTTATAGTCATGTAGTGAGAAATCTGCAAAATGCAAACACGTACTCTTCCACATTATAATTTTCTTGGTGACTTAAGATAAGACAATTACTGTTTTTAGTAATTATTTAATTTTTATAAGCTTAATTAGTGCACGCATACAATTACATAAGATATTGGTAGCGCTATTTTTTTCAATTTCGTACACTGTACTGTGAGCAAGTATAATTCTGTGTGTTGTTGTACTTATTAGCATTTCTTATCTTTTAAAAAATGCGTTTATCTAAAGCTGCCAATTTTTTTTATGATCTTAAAGTGCTGGTGTTTGAACTCAGTTCATATATCTACATTAAACTAGCTATAGATTTACTCTCGCTTTGCTGTATTGACGTTGTCAATAGAGTCAATTTATGTACATTTCTACGCAGGCTATGTTTTGTTTCGAGTCGTGACAAACAGTAGTATTTTTCACATGTGTATTTATATATTTTTTAAGCATTTTGTTTATTCACTGCATGTACATTTTTCTCATACGTAGACTTTTCTTATCGGATATATATTCCAGCTTCACTTTGGCTTCTGTACCATAATTACTCATCAGCTTTGTGATCAGCCTTTTCAAGAATGTTTAAAATACGGCCCAACTTTACCACATAAGGCAGAATACATTTATGGCCAAAAAAACATTCAATTTAGACGCAGAACACAACGTCCCAATTCAGTAAGTAGGTGATTTAGTACCACTGATTTAAAAGGTGGTACTTGATTCACCAGCAGCAAAGCGCGTGCAAATAAAGGGGAAAATGGTAGTTTTCGTCGGATAAGCGCCATCGCCTCTGGGGCTATTTTGCGGCCCGAGAGACTTGCAAAGCAGGGCCCGAGGGACGTAAAATAGGCGCGGAGCAATGGCACTTATGTGGCGAATCCTATTTTTCCTGCCAAGGGCACACCCGACCCTCAAAAACGCCTGAGGTCGAAAAAAGCTTTTTGCGTTATAAAAATGATATGTATCTTTTTTTATTTAAGAGTGTTATAAGAACTATTAACAGTGTTAATGATTCTATTCTTGTTTACAACAGTAGTGATGTAAGCAATACAAAGCTTTTATACGTTTTAGTGTATTTTTTTTAGGTAGTTTTTTGAGACAACAAAGAATGAAGTTGTCCAGCACCTACTTCAACTCCTAGAATCAAATCCCCTACAATCTTCGGCATTGGACATCCTTTTGGTTTTAAAGAAATTATTTGAAGACATTAATATCAGCTTTGGTAATTAAATATCTTTAGCTTGCGATGATGCTAGTATAATAATGGAAAGAAAGAATGGGTTTTAAAAGCATTTGGAAGATGTCGTTTCCAGTCAATACTATACAAATTCCACTTAAATACTATGCTCTATTTGCCAAGTTAAGTAATAGTCAAATCCTCAGAATGGTTGAAACTACGATGTAGGCAATACCCAACTACTTCTTTCACAGCCCAAAAAGTTTTTAAAATGTCGATAGCCAAAAACATTAAAAGATTATCGGGTTCACAATGACCTGAAGCTCGGAAAATTTTATGACAGAATTTGCATTGATTATCTTAGATTTATTGGTTATTTAAGGCTAAAATTTTTTATGCCTTATGTGACACTTGTTTTAGATTTTACGTTTTGTTTATGAGCTTCGTGCTTTAATTTTTTAACTTTTTTCATACTGTTTTCCAACCGAAAGGATTAATGATTTATCGTTCTAACCAGTCTATAATAAAAAGTATAAAAGAAATCAGAAATAATTTGATCATTTAGTTTCAACCAATTTCGTTGTTCACGATCACATGAAAGAGATCTTTAATGGTTACTTTGGCCCATAGGATCCCCAAATTTTTGCTAAAATTACGAAAGAAATTGTCAAATTTTGATACATCACTAAAAAGAATGAAAACACGTTTCTTAGAAAATACTTTTTCCGCCCTCGGGTGGTTTTGGGAGGCTGGTACTTCCTCGGGCAAAAAAGCAGTTTTCCGATACTCGTTCGAAAAGTCTCCTTTACGAACCTCGTTACGAACCTCGCCTTCGGCTCGGGCCGCAAACCTCTCGGTTCGCAAACAAAGACTTTTCAAACTCGTAGGAAAACTACTATTTTGCAGTATTTAGTATGTGTTGAGCCGATGGTGACTTTAAGTACATAAGAAACTGCCCTTCTATACAGCTTGCGAGTATCTAGAGTACTAAACTCTGCTTTTGGAAGAATGCTATTTCGTCTGGCATCATTCTTACAGTTACATACTAAAAAAACAGCCTTTGCTACCACATCACAATGTCGCTTAGGCAAGCATAAGGCCAAACAGACTCGTTTTGCTTACTCTTCTCTGATGCTCATAAGGTGCGAACCCTTTTTTTGAGGGAGCGATAAACATTTAAAGTATAAAAAATCCTTAAAGTAATAAATGATTTTTCCGCACTCGGGTGGTTTTAGGAGGTCGGTACTTCCTCGGGCGAAAAAGCAGTTTTCCGGAACTCGTTCGAAAAGTCTCCTTTACGAACCTCGTTACGTCCCTCGCCTTCGGCTCGGGCCGCAAACCTCTCGGTTCGCAAATAGAGACTTTTCAAACTCGTAGGAAAACTACTATATTACGCCACTAGGGCCCAAAATACAAAATAAACGCTCGAAGGGCGCAATTATTGTATGTTGGTGCCCGAGTCACGTATAATGTTTTTCTTGCCCGTGGGCACACTTTGCGCCCAGTAAATCACTTC